GCTGACAAGTTTGTTTCATTGGAATAGATGGTTCAAACACCCACAATGTTTTTCGTTCTTTTTTTTATTTTTTATTATTCTTTTTTTACGGAGTTAGACTTGGGTGGACGTCGGCTCATAGAAAAAGTCAATTTTTCTCGATTATTTTTTGGTCCAGGTAACGCTATGTTCTCAAACTTTGGCATTTTACCCCAACCACTAGCCTCACATCCTCACGGAGTTTGAGCTTTCAGCCATCCATAGTGTACTTACCCGGGCCTCTTCTCTCAGTCCCGGTATTTTTCATTACATCGTCTGCACCTGGTGCATAGTTGGCACTAGGTGTTTACATTTAGCTACGTCCTACCTCAGATAAAAATGGCAAGTCATTAGTTGCCTGACAAATTACACTCCATGTTTACCAATAAGAATAATAAGTTAATAAAAGAAATTCTTCTTTTAGTTACTATTATTATTCTTATAATTATAATAGTTTGAACAAAAATGAAAATAAGCCTAAGCGCTCTTTACTTCGGAGCCACCGCGACTAGTGTTCCTAAAAACAAAGCATTTGTTTTGTTTTGTCTTTTAATTTAGTAATTCTTAGCAGAATGTTTTGATATAAATTAGTGTAGATAGAAGATAGTGATCCTTTACCACTAAATTTACATGTGAGATTTATTGAACAATTCGTGCAATCACAGATAACAACGCGGTGGAAAAGGAATTACCATTAATGTAAGGCACCGTTTAATTAACCTTTAAACCTGTAATCCATGATGCAATAAAAAAGAGTTTAATTTTTAAATTCGCTAAAAAACTTTTTTTTAGTTCTGACTTGATTAATAATATAATGTATTTTATTTGAAATGAAAATGCATTTTGAAAAGAGCTGGTCTACGACAAGAAAAATGCTTGTATGTGGGACCAGGAAGCCAAGAAAACACTATACAGGGTGTCACAAAAGAAAATTTATACGGTTTTCTTTTTTTCACCGTAAAAATAAACTAGGCGTCGCCGAACGCTCATTCTCCGCCCAAAGGTAGCGCTAGAGGTCACAACCAGATGCCCAAGTTTCAGCCTGATCTGATACTTTATCCAAAATGTTATGCGTGATTTTCTGAAAATTTCGATGTGAAAATGGCGGCCGAAGGAGTTTTGGAATGCATGGGGCTCTATGGCACCAGAAACCGAAAGCGGGCAAAAATAGGCTCCATTTTCCCAATGAAATGTTCAAAAAATCACTCGTAACTTTTGAAAAAGGTATCGGATCGGGCTGAAACTTTGGAATCTTCTTGTGACCTCTAGAGCTACCTTCGAACTTAGAATGAGCGTTCGGCGATGCCTAATTTATTTTCGCGGTAAAAAAAAGAAAAAAAAAAAAAAAGAAAAAAAAACTATTTTTTTTTTTGTGACACCCTGTACATCATTATACAATATTGTAGCCAAAAACACTATACATCATTATACAATCCTGTAACGAAAAACACATATAGGCAAAACAAATCATATAATAGAATTAGTATTATGAAGTAACATAATGGTTATTTTGATAACATGGCATTATTCACGCACATTCTTTTTGACCTCTCGGATGGTTGATAAATTAAGCAAAAGCTATGATTAATTGTTCAATAATGAGGTTATGTCTTTCTTTCCTTTTTTACCTTAGTTACTTAATATATTAGGAAGATAGGAGATTGCAATATAGGACATTACTTTCCTAGTTTTGTTTCTTTCTTTTCCATTTTGATATCGTTGCAATAGGAGGCTATGTAGCTGCCGAACAAAGTGGAAGTTGGAAATGAAGCTCAAAGCGGCGATTTGCTCAGAAGAGCAGCTCGCTTTGCACGTGTTCAGGCTTGTTTAAATCTCACTTGCGGGATGATTCTTTGATTTCAATACAAAACAAATGCGTGAGGAAAACGCGAAATAAAAATATATTTAAACGATATCAATTTTCATTTTCCGCCCTGCCTGAAGAACCCCACTTACTTCTGCCCTGCCAGAAAGACTCGCACTTACTTCTAGTAATGATTTTATTATCGCAAGCAGTGCGTGTCTGTGCCGTACAGATCAAGCTTGATCCACAGGCGCAGGGGGGAGTGGAGGGAAGTGGAAGGGGGTGGGGGATTCGTCGAGGACGAAACCCACACACTTACGGTCCCAGTTCTCTTGCTAACTAATACCTAGTCTGCATCAGGGTGATCTTAACAATCACACTGGGCGAATCCTGCTCTGATATCGAAACTAAAAAAAGAAAACGTTTGTATCTGTATCGCGCAGCATAGTATGTCAACTTTCAATATGTATTGTATTCAGGGAAATGCTGTACATATTTAGGTGCAGGATTTGCTGCGGTCCACTCAGTCAAGATATTGTGTACTCCGTCTCGCCCTATAATGGACTAGAATCCGAAGGCTGTAGGGCGGAGCGCTACCTCAAAAAAAGCTTGCATCCGCATTGCAAAAGAGTACGCGAGAGAATTTCCGATATGCAGAGTACGAAGAGCACTAAACTGTGATAGCGAGCTATTTTTATACTGGCGTAGTAAAGGTACACGGTATCTAGTTTAATAAATATTCATGCCATAATTCGTAAAAATGTCAACTGTTTGGAAAAGTTGGAGGGCGCGCAGGCAACACAGCCATAAAGTCGTTTCTCATTCCCCGGGTACGGGCCACGTACCCGGGGAATGACGTCGATACGGACGAAGGGCACACAGATGGGTCAGCAGTCGAGATTCCTTGAGTGACGTAACCAAACGTGCTGTGGCAAGGAACTGGGAACGCAGGTGTAAGTAGAGCAAAAACCCAGGAAGCAGACGGAGCCGCCGGGAGGGCTCGATAAGCATACGAAAAACTCGCCTCCGCATGACGCGTCTTGGCGCACTGATACGCACGATGGAGCAAATATACCATGTGGTTTCTAACAGGCCCTTGATTAGACCCGGCGGTCTATAGCATTGGCATTTAGTCTATCGTAGGATGAAACGGAGAATAGTCGATTTCCTTCAATATAAAGAAAACACACTTTGCTAAAAAAAAGAAATACTGTCCACCGCAGGAAGTAATGTACATATTAAAAAAATAATAAAAAAAAGCTTTCTTTTCGTTGTATCGAGCGGTTTCATATTGGAGGAAAAAGAATTAAGCTTCAGTATTATTTCGAACTTTTTTTTTTCGTTTCCAGTCTTTTATTATACCCCCGATCGGCGCTGCAACGAATTTGAAATAACATAGTCATACGGATAGGCATATTGAGATATGGATTGAGATGCTCAATATTTACATATATATGCTTGACTTTGAAACTGTAGAATAAAATTAATACATTCTGTGTGTATAACAATTATGAATTTGAACTGCTTGATTTATTTTTTTTTCTACTTTTTACAAAGAATGTGTTCTAAGGCTATGGTACGAAGAAAAAAACTTGCGCAGCTTAAAACGCTGCACGTTCTGTTTCTCCCGACTTCATCTATAGTTACAATGCATTATTTCCTTCGTAGTTTTCTTTTTAAATATCTATTAAGAAATGGTACTTCGACAAAATTTTAGTACTCAGATATAATTCGCCTTGTGATACGTCAACATATGTGCCTTGTACGGATGATATAGTAGCAGCTTTTGAATATAAAATGGAGGGAAGAAACATGGTATTCTAACATGTCCCTTGATCCCATGTACCTGCACGTTTTGAAACCTTCGAGAATATTTGGAAGGTTGCCAACAGGAATGTTTGCGCTAATAGACCGGTTTCAAAACTCCATCGAGCAGCATTAGTGGTCGCCGTTTCTTCGGCACGAAGCGTGAGATTAAACCCGAGTCCTCGCCGAGCGCTGACGCGGGAGAGTACGTGTCCAAATCATGGCGGACGGGGAGAATTGTCGCAGCAGCCACTAGATGGAGCTCACTTTTGAAACATGGTCTTTTTAAACGAGCCAGCACAGGCTACAGACATAGCCCCATACACTGACAAAGCCTGGCAGATCGCCACGAGAACCGGCCACCGAAATGGGAAAGGTGGAGCGGCAGACAACGAATGGGAGGAGAGCCACGTGACTGGCGCCCCGCTGCGGCGAGACGTCGAAACACACTCCCGAGCGAACAAGCGTGTTTCGGGTCCTCGCCGCTGCAAACGCTGTGCGCTCACGTCTAGGTTCCCCAGAAATGGCTTTTTGATGCTGTGTACTACCAGATCCTCACGCTCCAAATCTGCAACCGGGCACTCTATGGCTCCGTCGTCGAACTGCCAGGCTTTGTGAGTATAGAGGAGGCTACGATACGGACCCTAGAACTCGTCTTCGACAGGTGTGTTTAGCGTCCTATCCCGGCGATACATCAAAGGTTTTCCCCAAGTGGCAACAAATGACGTCACAGAAGCCGGTGTCTCATGTTGTCGGATGTCGCGACCCTGGCGGTTGGTGCTAGAAGTCCCGGCAGACAGTACGAGCCAACGCGAGCGTCGCTGTCGTCGCGGAGTTTCATCTTTTGACTGCTGAAGCCTGCTTCGGGACTGTCAAACAGGACCGTGACCTCGAGCAAAACAGGCGTCTGCCACACCCGTGATCCCCCGCCGCTGCAGTGATACCGCGAGGATCGCGCGGCCGGGGACAACGTGACACTTTTATGACGTCATCAGGCGGACATCCAGGTAGCACCTTTTAAAACGCGGTAACCACACTATAGTCAGTTACAGGTTGAGAGTTCAGGGGAAACTCCTCCCACCCTTTTCCACTATATAAAAGCGAACGCTGAAAAGGAGGTCGCCTCCACTCCAGTGTTCCCTCTGCTAAAGTGAAAAGGGGCTCAAGGGAGTTTCCCCTGAACCCGTCATCAACTATAACACAGAGACAAGTTTCGTGCACCATAATAAAACCTTTTAGTAAACCGTTCCGATACCTCCGATAGCGATACCCGATAACAACATGAAGCGTGCGCAAAGGCGTCGTCGGAGTATTGGGTGTTTATCGGAGCTATTGGAACGATCTAGAAAAACTCGGTAATATGAGCACTCACCTCCAACCTGCGACAGCGCCTGGCGTCCTTGGACCTCTTGTTGGATCTGCGGCGCCAGGCCGTGCTCAAAGACCATCCGACGCAGAGCCTGGATCTCAGCCGCGGAGGGGACCCTCTTCGCTGTGGCTTGGCGGGGCTGCCGGGAGTGGGAGGCGTCGACTTCCACGGGAGCGACGGTGGCATTGCGTGGGGACGAACACATGGCGAGTGCGGACCACAGGCACAGCAGAAGCAGACACCGGAGGGCAACGATCATGGCACGCTGTAAGGGAAGCCCCACAAGGTCGGCACCGGTGTGTCGTGAGAGGTGTTCGACAGTGTTAGCCCGAATTCCTTATCACTTCTTCAGATTTTTATTACAGTATTATCAAGCCCCCAATTTTTCTCCCTAGGTTATGACCCGAAGAAGCCCATTTCGCTACACTGTTTTTCTTTTAGAGCGCAGCTCTTAGGCGCCCGTTTCTGTGTTGAGCGGCGTCGGCCTAACCGCGTGCGTTGCATTATGAGACATCACAATTTCCCGGCTAAATTGAGCAGGGAAACTGAATTGGTGTTGAGATCACGTGACGTCAATTTCTCCGCTAAATAGCTAAATTTAGCGTAAACATTTTCGCTAGATTTAGAAACAAAAATTTCGCCAAATTTCCCGCTAATTGTTGCGGGAATATTTCCCCGCTAAACTAAGCAGGGAAATGTTCGCTACATTTGGCGGTAAATTTAGCGAAACTTACCCGCGGAAGAGGGGAGGGGGAGGAGGGAGGATACCCCCCCCCTCCTCCTCCTTAAGAGCTGCGTTCTAATTCGGCATTAGAGAAAATTGTAAACGTCTTTCATTTTTAAATATATTTCAATTTTGAAATCCGGCGACCGCTTGTTTGCATTAAAGGGCAACTCCGCTCAATTCCGAAAAATTTAGGCTTCCATGTGATTCACATTCACAAAGCACTACTGAACAACTCTACGTCTTCGGATTCGCGAAATGTGGAATATTATTTGTGTAATCCTAATTTAAACATCAGCAGATACAGAAACCGAAACTTCGGTTGCGTCAGGCAACATCGGTCTCGGGTCGTCAAAGGCATGCACGTCACGTCGAACCACGTGGTCTTGTGACGTTCGGGAGGGAGCGGAGGGAGCGAGAAACAGGACACGCAACGCGGGCAAATTTTTTTTTTTTTTTTTTTTTTTTTTTTTTTTTATTGGACGCGGGAAGGTCGCTTTGCGTGGCATGGACGGTGATGGCCTGGGTGAGAGGGGGAAGGGAAAAGACGAAAGAGAAGGGGAGCGGAGATACAGACCGATAAGCGCGTAGGACAGCGCAAAGTAGCGCATCCGTGTTACGGTGATCACGTGAACGCCCGGTCAGCCAACACCGGGAGGAGAAACTCATGACGTCATCGTTGAATTTCGCTCTGAGAAATAAAAACAAGCAAAACGTGAGAATGACGTACATGCCTCTGACGTAGTGGCTCAACGTTGGCCGCTCCAACTCCGTGGCATTGACTGCGCTGATGATTGCGCCTCGCGCCGCACGCTAGAGTTGGCAGATTTCGGCGACTTGGCTCGCTTGAAGGTTTGCCGGCCAGTTTATTAAATAAATAAACGGAATTAGATCGTAATATTTGACGTGGGGTCTTCCTATATGATACTGAAGAGGGCTACATAGTTTTCTAAATATCAAAAATGAAGCGGAGTTGCCCTTTAACTACGTGGTCAGCTTTTAAGACGCAGATTAAATCCTTTGTCTACTCTTGACTCTATTTGGGCGAAACGGCACGATACGCGGTTTGAAAAGTATTCTTTTAAAGGGCCCATGAAACGATTTTTGGGTTGGGATAAATCATTTTAGATTGGGATTTTACTAATAGCACATTGTTCAGTGGACCAAAAGAAAAAAGGTAGAAAGTCAAAAGCCTGACTTTCAGTGCGAAAATTTGAAAACAGAGCGGACTATTTCGTACCTCCTCCCCTTCGCGACCTCTCTGCCTTTTCACTGTGATACATCCGCGGTCCCAAAAGCGCATCATCGGGTCCAAACTGACGTCACACGCAACCGGACCTCACTTATTCCCTTCACCCCTAAGCTGACATTGTGGTGGAAGCTACACGCTTGCCGGACCAATCAGCCGCCTCCCTTTCATCACCTGACTTCATTCTCTGCAGCCACATTTGCCACGCTCACGTGGCAAGTGTGGCTGGCCCAACGATTACGTAGCTTCAACAGCACTGTCAGCTTCGGAATGAACGGGGTGGGGAAAGCAACTTTTGTCTGAATTTTGAGCGACGGGCTAATCTTCTAGGGGGAGAATGGATGTGTCCGGATTATACAAACGACAGTGCGAGAAAGAGGGGTCTCCCCTTTTTCGTCTTGTTTAACTCTTTTGGTGGAATGCGCGATTTATGAGTTGAGGAGGAAAGCTAAACAGGAAAAAGTTGGAAAAGCGTTTCATGACCCCTTTAAGGTTGTTTTATAAAAAGGAGGAAGTGTTTAGTTCCCTAATATTTCCCTATGATCGCTTTTATGAAGTCCTCTCTATTCCTGCATTTGTCATTTAGCGACTCTGTTAGGGCGAACACGACATCAGCGTTTATTCAGATTTTAGTTTAAAAAAAATTGCCAAGCACCAAAGTCTATGGCTTAGGGGATATTGCTAAAAAAAAAAACACCTTTCACAACGCTATAGCTGGAGAGGAGACGACCCCCTTTGCGGCGTTCGCTCTGCTAAAGTGGAAAGACAATAGGAGGAGTTTCCACTTCACTCTTAACATGTCACCGACTTTATAGTGGTCTTGATGACATCTTTCTATTCAAAAAGAAGAACAAAAAGTTGACGACCGCTTGTTTGTTCTAATATATTCCGTCACCCTTTGTATGTCTGCAGCGCTTTACACCACGATGGAGTCATTGGTCAGCTCCAACTAATCGGACGGCAATAGGCGTGCTGATTCTTTTTCTTTTTTTTAATATCAAGTAGCCCGTAAGATAGTCCTTCAAAGAAAAACACCGGCCCTTTTTCTTGCTCCTAAGCAGGTCCTGTTAGGTTTGCCCGCTACGATTGAATTGCAGAGGACCGCCATAGAATAGCGGTGTATTCTAGTTCCGCGGTTTCGAAATTAAACTTGGGAGCTTCAGCACTTTGGAAACATTTTTGTGGCTCTAGTGGGGTCCTTTCGAGTTGGAAACCACAGAGATGGCTTCAGCGAGACCTCTGCAATCAATAGGGACATTTAGCAAACCGTTGCCGTGTTTGGCGTACCGCACTACCGGAGCCTTTGAAGCATGCTTTTTAGCACGCGCCCGGTAGGTACCGTGACCGCGGGGCGCGCGCTTACAAGCATGCTTCAAAGGCTCCGGTAGTGCGGTATGCGGAGCACGGCAACTGTTTGCTAAAGGTCCATGATATCACGTATTGAATAGAATGGTCTATTGAGCTATTCCTATTAAACCAATGGAAAGCCTTTATCTGTCAGGGTCCCATGACAGGGCCAAACGTATCATACAACGGCCATGAGAGCTCGCTGCTTGTCGACAAGCGTATTAAAACGAGAGAAACGAATCTAAACGACCTTTAAAACTACATTTGTATCAATCAGAAAGCTTCCCGCAGTCGCATATTTACCATGTGAAGTTAGACTGAGCATATCGTTGCTTTTAAACCCGCAATAAGCAAAGCATGGAAGTATAGCATAAACTAACATGAAAGACCGTAAAAAAGAAAAAAAGTATACTAGTTTTTAGAAGTCAGTTTACACACTTGCGCTTGGTTACTACCGAGTTCTTGTGACCTCTTACGTCGAGAGAACATACTGGCACGCTGGCGCCATCTATGGAACTTCATTTCTCCAGAACGAATATTTTCGCGTATTTGCGGGATCAGATGTAGGTAAAAATGGTCCTTTAAAACAATGTCAGATTTTGAGACAAAAATGATGCGCGAAAAGTATAGGAAATATACGAAAAGGCCAAGTGTCCCAAACTTACACATACAGATGGCGCCAGTCTGAAATATCTCGTTGTACGAGGTTTTAAGACACTCAGTCATAAGCAGTCTCAAATGTGTGAACTAGATTCATCTCGGTAGACCGTAACTAAATAAGAAAAGAAAAAAAGAACAGCCCCAATCCCACTCCAAATATTTCGGTTGAGTCCCCCCATGGACGTATCTCGGCAGCGCACGCCAAATTCCAATCTCGGGGCTCCATGAAATCTGCAGGAGCTATAGTCTTTCTCGTTTTATGTGGGTATGTGTGTGTGACTGTGTGTGTGCGTCAGTTTTCGGCGGGAGCTCGTATCTACACTGAATGAACCCAAGTCGCCGACGCAGCTGCACTCGTTTCGTCACTGACTGAACACGATTCCCAGCCGAACGCGCAAGTAATAGAAGAGACGGGGACCCCGATTCGGGCCACTGGATAATGCGTACTGCCCGTCAACACTTCTCACAAACCAAAGCACATATTGTGAAACACATCTGGCAAGTTTGGTAGATCTCTGTTCAAGGTCGCAGCCATCGTCGTCGTCCTGAAGGCATCACCGAAGAAGAGGCCGAGCGGGTCTTAATACTTTGGGTTCCTAACAAGGGCTTGGTTTGACGTCGTTTTTAATTATTCTTCATCGATGCACACTTTCAGCGCCTGACTGAGGAAAGTTGACGATAGCTTTTAGATTAGCCATCGCCGTCGTGAAAACAACTTCCCAGAGGACGTCTAGGCGGCATTAGCATAACTTCGGTTGTTAATAATAATAGTTCCCTTTTTTTATTCCAACAAGAACAATTTTGAAAAGATGACCACCGAAAAGAGCTGTGAAAAACAGCTTGACGAACCCCGAGCCACCTAAACCAGCTGTCGTGATGCAGGCACCAAAATAAAGCACACAAAAATTGAACATGACACGTGCTCTACATAAATGAAAAACAAATTACAAATGAGAGCGAACGCTATACAAAAGAATCAGCACATTGATGTAATTTACACAATAGTGAAAGCATATGCAGAAAGTTAGAGACTCACCGAAATAAACTCAAAAGAAAAAAACAACTCAACAGATTTTAGCGCTCATCGCGAGCAATTTCGCTCGAATAAAAACATTTGAAATAAACATTTCCCGAAAGATGCTCATCGATGCATTGCCAAGTTCCATTTCCTGCCTACTAAGCTGGTTAAGAGTAGTCGGCAAAGTACATTTCAGACTTTGGTTAGCTCTCCGATCAGCCAATCGATCGTCGTAATGGGCGCCCAACACAACGATGATCC